AGTAGTACTGCTGGGTGGTGAGCAGGTTTTAGTTAGTGCATGAGATCGTCTTACATTGATGGACAGAGTACTAGAGTAATAACCAACTGGTTGCCATGGCAAATAGAATAAGGAATTTAAATGTCGCCAGTAGCTAGCAATAATTATAATGGGTCACTTGGCGCTATCATTTTAAATTATTATATGAACTTGACAATTAGTTCAGATTTTATTTTTCAGTTCAAATCTGCAATGTCAATTTGATGAACTAAATGGTTCGGACACTTTACAGCCCCACCAGGAACTGTCTTAGGTCTAGTTAGTTCCAGAGTTTCATACTTTACAGCCCCACCATAGAAATTATTATATGAACCTTGAGGATAATGGCATGGGTACTCCACGTGAGCCATTCTGTGCAACATGGTCCTATGGACAAACAAATAGTAATATAGAAATTATCAATCACTTAACAAGTGCAAACCCTACCACTGACTAGTCATTTTCCAATTAAATGTCATTATAGGGTATTAAGAAGCTAAAATACTCAGTTTCAGAAACTAAGCTTCCATGCATAGAGACCACCCATGTATTGAGAAAAACTATCTGACACTACAAAATTCTGACCATGTGGTTAGTGTTACAAATCGAAAATCACACCAATGTTGAATTAAAGAATGGGCTGGAGGTGTAAGAGGCTGGGAAAACACTAATGTTACAATTCAGCTGTACATTTTTCATATGAGGGTGAGTTGCAGCTTCTGGGGTTTCAGAGTGCAGTAAAGCCTCTTTACCTATGCCTACCCAACTACCCACATATAACCCACCAGAATCCTATCCGTCCCAGGTCTGCAGCGCAGCGAATCAGGTAGAGTAAAGCTAGAATTAAAGGCGCCCCTCAGTTAGTCTCCAAAGGATTACTACCTATTTAGAACACAATGGTAGAGAGAGATTTTGTTCCAACAAAAGCATGGGTAGGCAGCATTAGTTGGTGCCATGTGAATGCTTAGATGCAATATTTTGCTGATAATCAAGTGCTTATTGACTTCTATAGGTGATTGGAACGGTGTTCCAATATTGAGTATTCCTTTTCATCAAGTTGCAATCCTGTAAATTTGGAATCAATCCTAAGCCTTGTTGTGGGAACTGAAGAACTAGTCTATATGAATTATGAAATAGCGTCGAGGTGTGTTGCTTTCTTATAAAGATGTTACCTTTTTGCCCAATCAGAATATTATCAATGCTTATAAGCAAGTAGTGAGAGGATTTCTGGAAGATGGTATTTAGAATGATTTCGCTTAGGGATCCTTGGCTTCACTTTCTGGCTATACAGGGCGTCACACTGTATTTGTTGTGAATTTCTTGTTTTGCCTCATGAACACTAGGAAACAAATGATTGGTGATAAGTGACAATCAGGAATCACTTATAGAAATGTTTAGTGCTCCTGGGGTTCCTTAGGAATATTTGTATTGTCCTGGGTGATAGGTGTATGGAGTATGTATGGTACCATGTGTTTTCTTGTTTCTCTCTATTTCAATAGTACTGGTGAAGCACCTAGTGGCACATTTTGAGGAATCCATCTTCAGTTCCAACCACAAACAACCTTGACAAAGGAAGCACAGCAATAGTTGAAAGGACAGATAGGTTTGTCAGCCGAATACAAGTTCTGAAGTGCAAGCTGCTGATGTCCAATCTGCTTAAAAATAAATGGAAATCACTTTCATGAGAGCCAATTAGATTTCCATCTCATATAGTTTATAAAAATTGCTAAATGGGAGTTACACTACTGCTGGAACTTGGAAGCAGCAAATTCTTTCAAGATTGAACAATGTTGCCTGATCGAAACCAACGAGCTATCATTTCTTACTGCCATAGACCATGCTCAATGCAGCCTAATTACATGGTTGTTATATTTTTCAGGAAGGGTTGGGCAGTCTTTGGCTTGAGTTTCTGGAAAATGGTTCTGCAGATAACCTGGTGGAGGCTCCAGTGTTGGCAAGCCATTGCTTTTGGTTTTTGAGTTCCCAGAAATGATTGTATGAAGGCAGAAACAAATGTAGCTTTAGTGTTGCTTTTGGCAAGCCGTAATTGATGGGGGAAGTTTCTATCAGGATATGAAGGCAGAAACAAATGTAGCTTTGAACCTGAGAGCTGCAGGTGCAGATGGATCACTATTTGGAGCATCAGGTGTCTGACATCGAGCTCTCTTGTTATTTGATGCTTCTGTTTAGTACAGTCACTTGTTTTTTCACAACTAAAGCCCTTCTGAATGTAGAATTCAAAATAAAAATATAACCTTGGGATATTCTTCAGTCTGCATGTCTAATGGAGATTTTAAGGGCTGCACTGTTTTTTTTTTCTTGAACAACACAAGGGCTGCACTGTTATGTTTGTAACATACTTTTTCATCTTCGTTTTGATGCTTGGCAGGCTCTAATCAGGCGGGGAACAATTTGACCTTGAAAGGGCGGCCTCTTACAGTTAGTTCTTCACCTTTTCTAGGCTTCCAGTCACTTGCATTGGAAGCAAGTTTGCCTGTTACACATTCTTGTGCACTTATGACACGTGTCCTTTTGATCATAACTATTCAGGGTTTAGAACATCTTCGATCTGGATGATGTACTGTGCAAGATTGTATGTTATATATGTATTGATCTCCATGTGATGTATGTGTTTTTATATCTTTTTGTGATGGACCTTAAGCTTGAATCTGGGTATGATATGTGCTACATATTTTCTCATTGTATTTATTTTTTTTATATATTTATATTGTCCTGTAGGACAATCTGTCGCTATAAATTCAAGGACTGTTGGATGATCTGTCGCTATATGTCTTGTAACAGAGCATCTGTCGCCAAAAAGTAGCAATGGATTGTCTGTAGCTAAAAAAATTCAAGCCAACGGACTATCTGACGCTAAAAGTACTGTCTGACGCTAAAGATTTTTAGCGACAGGACTTATAGCGTCTGCAGAAGTCTGACGCTATAACTTTTTAGCGTCAGATTGTCTGTCGCTGTAGCCGCTTTTAGTATCAGACCGTCCATCGCTAATCTTGGTGTTGTGGTGTAGTGGTAAGAACTGGAAGAAGAAAGATGGTGAAATGGATCTGATTGCTCAACTCTTGCTTGAAAGTAGAACATGTGCTTAAAATAGAATGGTTAGCTAATGAACTAATCTTGACTGCTAATAAAACACATACATAAGGATTTACTACTAGTATTGCTTTTTGCAAAAAGAAAACCCAGCAACCCATAAAGCTTATCATATCATTTGGAGTCGGGAAATTATTCCCACTAGTCGGATAAGTCTTGCGAGTACATTATGTACTCAGGGTTTATTTACCCCTATTACAGGTGCACCTTGAAGAGTAGCTGTTGTGTGGAGGATTCTTCTGGTGAGCACATACAGATCATTGTATTCTACCGTTAGATGTTTATTTTAATTCCACTATTTAATTTCCGCACTCTAAACTTGGTACTGTAATAATGCATTTCTAAGAACTTTGGTTGTATGAAATGGACTAAGTATTGTAAACTCGTTCTCATTATTAGATTCTGGAAGAAAAACATGGATTATTCGAGTTCTCCCTTGGGGTGTGCTCGATGGAATCCGCCCGATATAGCTTGCTTTCGGGGTGCTTAGTGTCTAGTGGATGACGAGCGCCTCCGAAGGTGTGTTATTTCGGGCAGTTCTGCCATAGGAATAGGGACCTAGAGCTCGCCAGAACCCTAGCCACTGCCGCGTCCATCAGATCCAGAGGAGGAGGATGAGGCTCAGATCCAGAGGAGGTGGAGCAGGAGCGCTCAGATCCAGAGGAGGTGGAGGAGGAGAAGGAGGAGGAGGAGGGCTAAGATCCAGAGAAGACCCGACCTACCTCGTCGGAGCCGCCGCCGCCGTCCTCGTCTCCGGTGGGGGTCGCGGAGGGGAGAGGGAGGGAGGGAGAGGCGGCAGTGTCTTGCCGCGCGGCACGCGTCGTCCGTCCCGAGCATATGAGGCGGAAGGAGGAGGAGAGGCAGAGGAACCCAGCCCCCGAGACGACCAAGAGCGAGAGCGGCACGATCGCAGAGAAGGGCCGGCGCGAGACCCGGAAGGCGTGGAGAAAGTGCACGGCGGCAGTGAGTGGGTGCGGAGGAGTGCGGGGGAGAGCGGACGAGTGGAGCAAGCGAGTGGAGAACGGGGATGTGCGGGTGGGGAATGGGGATTAGCGAGCGAGCCCGAAGAACAGCTCGGTCGAGTCTGTACGGGTCCGTCCGGATGGGACGGACGCCCATACAGTATTGTTGTCGTTATTATTAAGGCCCGTATCTAGAAATAAAATTATCAAAAATAATTTTAAGAAATTTGATGTCAAAGCTGGTAATGAATATTTAGGCCACTAAATAATCTCAAATAATAAAAGTTGTCAACTAAATTTAGGCGAGGTTCTTTTCACGCACCTCCTTTTTTTTAATTAAAAAAACAGAAAAATACAATTACAAGTGCAAGCTAAAGGTGTTGCGTGCAGCTCCGGACATTTAAGATGGCTGAGGACTTCATTTTTTGTCCTTTTCATGAGGATGCATGGCTTACTTGGCTTCAATACGTCTCGATTTGCTGCGTTAAACTTTGGATTAATTTTTTAGCAACATCCAAAGTCCTGTTGACGATAATTGATTTTATTTGCTGGTGCTAGCAGAAACCACGTAAATACGATGCGACCGTTGCCTGTTTTGTCTGTAGTTAGCGAACTACAGACAAATGCGCGACAACAATAGAGTAATAATAATCTACTTACAGGCCTTTTCCACCATATACAGACAGAGAAAGTAACGCACCTAGTAATTGGATAAGAGAACAGAATATACAATCCCAACTGAATACGTGTCCACATTCAACACTGGAGCCTTTATTATACATACAGGAATATATATACACACAACAGTCGGTGCTCACTCTCAGAAGATTATAAGACAGAGCAGAAGAGAGAAGAGAAGAAGAAGAACAAATAAAGAATAATTAAGGGGAACCTCCAGCTCTCTGACGCCTAAGATGAAGGGCTGAGCCTCCATCTCGGAGCTGGTATCTTGGGATGCTTCACAAGCTGATGCTGCAGTCCTCTCTCGAGTGCGTAGTCGAAGGAACCCAGAAGCCATACTTGGTTGAGGGAAACTGGGTGCTCTAGCCCAGAAAACTGCATCTCTGACCCTTCAAGGCAGTGGAGATTCAGATGTTCAAGTTTCTGCATCGCACCCTCGTGAAACCTTAGATGCAACTTGGATTTGCAGGCAATCTCGAGGACCTGGAGTTTCCTGAAATAATGTTCAGTAGAGGGAAATTGGAGCTCACCATCTTGATCCTTGTTGACGCGGAGGCGTAGAGTCTGCAGATTTGGTATGCTCCCGAGGACCTCTATGACCTCTGCTGTGAACAGTGTAGTCATCTCTAATGTCAGCTTCACCAGATTATCATGATTCTTGATGTCCCCTGGCAGCTCCTCTACATGGCCGTACATCTTGAGGCTCCGTAGGTTTGTGGGAAAGGAGATGTCTTGCCAATGAACGAAATGGTTGTGTTTCTCGAACTGCAGTGTCAAGGATTCCAAATGTTTCTTGAAGCTTAAATTGTAATGAAAAGAAAATCTTCCCTGTTTGCCACTGATGCCAGAGATTTCGAGTTTCTTCAACTGGGGAAGGGAAACAATCTCAGCCAGAATGGCCTCCCCGTCTGCAGTATTTACACAGACGGCACCCACCATTTGCAAGGCTTCCAGTCTCTTAATCCCTCTAGGCACCACAACACCACCACTGCGAGAGCCAACAACAGGTCCACCTGCACGTCTGAGGAACTTGTTGGGCAAGCAGGACGCCAGAGTGCGCCACCTGCTACTTGATGGCGGCGTCGATCCCTGCTCCGCATCATGAGATGAGCTAATAATGTCTTCATCCGTCCATGCAACGGTGGTACCTGCACGAATATACTGCAGCTTCCTTAACCTGGTGATGAATGGTGGCAGCTTGTGAATGGATGTGTCTCTGATATCCAGAGTTTGCAGCAGCACCAGCTCACCCACGGAGTCTGGTAGCCGAGTGATTCCACTCTGTCCTCTTAGGGACAGGAACTTGAGACGAGATGGCAGCTTCCCAATCTTCTCGAAGTGACCATCACGTACCTCCAATGCATTCTCTAGATCCAGCACCCGAAGCACCCGCATCCTGTTCGAGACGTGTAATGGCAAAATAATTCTATTAAAAACTGTCAGCGACCGTAGCCGTGAGAAGTTCAAATTCTCGATCTCAGTTTGGTCGATATCCCAGGTGCTCCCGATGGCTAGGTGCTGTCCTGTGCCTTCTGTGGTCAGGCGGGCATGCCCCTGCCCCTGCCCCTGCTTCTCCAGTGCAGAGACTTCCACTGGAAAGAAAATGGTCTCTTCCACTGGCGCTAACAAGACGTACTCACGGAAGAAGCCGTTGACTCGGTACCCAATCACCTTGGTTGCCTCCAGCAGTACTGGCTGCATGATGCTCAGTGCCGCAACCTCATCGAAAATCTTCTCTGCGTACTTCTCCGTGCTATTGCTGTCGGTGCCTTTGGAGTAGACCTCGGCGATCCATCGCCTGATCAAACGCCTCCGCCGAATGATGATGTCTTGAGGAAAGATTGATAGATACATCATATATTTCTTGAGGTGGCGAGGGCAAGCATGCAAATAGGAATGCAACCAGGCTTGTATGTCTCGCAACGAATCAAACTCCTTGTTGCTCATTAGCTCGTTCATAAAGTTGTCATTCAGACGCCTCATCGCCTCTTGGAACACATCTTTTGGTTTGCTAGCCAAGTATCTTGCCACGGTAATTAAAACTCTGGGAAGTCCACCGCACTTAGACAAAAGAAGTTTGGCTGCTTCTTCCACCTTGTACTCTTCCAGTTTCAGAAACCATCCTTCCTCATCGAGCGCCTGTAGGTAAAACGAGAGTACTAGTTAATTACTAACAGCTAGCAAAATAAAACTACTCCAAATTACTATTTTAGTTGCAGAATCTAAACCGCACGACGACAACACTTGTACTATCAGCTCGTGAGAACATTGGCAAGGCTTCACATCAAAATAAAAAAAGTTCCCTTAAAGGCTCATGTATGGATAACATTAACAAGTTATACAAATCATATATCCATGTTCTTAAGAATAACTTATGTAAGCTTTTTAATCTACATTAGTTTAGTTATTTTAGCTCAAACATTATGGCATACCGATATTGAAAAACACTCTTTTTTTTAAACAAAGACACCACTACACATATAATTCCTTGTTATAAAAAAATGAAAACTTGTATATATCTAGACATAGTGTATATCTAAGTTCATAACAAAACTTGTATATATTAAAAAAGGCAAAACGTCTTATAATTTGGAATGGAGGGAATAGTAACTCATAGTTGTTAGGCTTATGTAACCTTGATCACCTTGGTGCAAGCTTAGATAAACTGGCAGGAATTTAACCAATATTCTCTTTGTATATCTCTCGTGTCTTGAACAAACTCTCCATTTTTTGTTCACTATACTGTAATAGCTATCATAATTTTCCTTTTGTGAAAGGATTGATGAGAAAACTATCATATACACTACCCCAGTTCTTCACACCACTATCGGTTCAAAAATCCCCTTCACTGCCGGATTTTGAACCAACAGTAGCATACCAACAGTGATGAGGGGGGCACATCACTACCGGTTTAAAAAACCGACAGTGATATGGTTTTTAGAAAATCCAAAAAAACAGGCTGAAAAAATAAGGATTTTTTTTAATACCGGGAGGGACCCCATTGGACAGTCACAGGTTACGCTTCGCGGCCACTGGCGCTCGAACTCACGACCTCTTGCTACACATGTTCGTTAGGGAACCACTCCACCTGTAGGAAGCTTGTGTCCAAATGACATTTTGGTCCTAGCCATTTTATGTTCATCTGTTTTAAAATGAGTATTTGGGATTCTAAACGAATTCAAATGAAAACGTTGTCAACTACAAAGTTATATAACTTTTCAAGATCTATAACTTTGATTTTGGTCATTTCTCCATCCGAGATCATTTGAAGAATTTGAATTTCAAATTTGAGAAAATTCAACCATATTTTACACTACATAAATGATGTCAAATGAAAAAGTTGTCAACTACAAAGTTGCATAACTTTTCAAGATCTAAAACTTTTGTTTTGGGCGTTTCTCCATTCGAGGTTGTTTGAAAAATTCAAAATTTAAATTTTAGAAATCCAAACGTGATTTTCGTTAGATAGATGATTTCAAAAGGAAATATTGTCAACTATAAAGTTGCATAACTTTTTTAAATTTACAACTTTTGTTTTGTTTGCTTCTTCATCTGAGATCCTTAAATATCACTACACACTCACTTATGACTATGGAACATATGTCCTTAGTTGGTGTTAACTTATATGAAATCTTGCCAATCAAATAGAGGGACATCATAACAACGACTTTAAATAAAAAAGTTGTGAACTACAAAGTTGCATAACCTTTTATGATCTATATCTTTTGTTTTGGGTGCTTCTGCATCCAAGATCCATAACTACCACTCCACACTCAATTATGACTATGGAGCATATGGTACTCCTTTTGTATTAACTCTATAAATTTTTGTGGTCTATATTTGGACATCCAAACAATCTCAAATCAAAAAAGTTTGAACTACAAAGTTGTAGATCTCATCGAGTACTACAACTTTGATATAAAGTTGGTCTTCATCGGACATCATATGAGAGAGTTATGAAGTTTTCTTGCAGCATATCACTGTCGGTTCAAGCCACGAACTGGCAGTGATAGTATCGGTGTCAGTTATTGGCTAAAATCAACAGTGATGACCCAATATCACTACCGGTTCTTGGCTCAAATCGACAGTGATATGAACCGACAGTGAAGACCCGAATATCATTGTCGGTTGGTCCTATCACTACCGGTTTTAGCCAAAAACTAGCAGTGATGTGCTATCATTGTCGGTTTCTTAAAATCTAGCAGTGATGCAGCCGGCAGTTAAAATCATATCTGTAGTAGTGATATTGTATTTAAAGAGCCATCTAGCCTCTCTAAAAATTAAGAGCAAGAAGGGTGGTTTTGTATAGTGAAAAAGATGGAAGGCGATTTGGAGAATCTATTGAAGAATAGTTTTTTGGTTTGTTTGATAAATTTTATGATCTAGTGCCGTGTAGAGAGGTTTTGGAGATACTCATAGACTGATTGTATGCTATTCTAGTAATTAAAACAGTAGCCTACAACCCTAAAACCTTTTTTAGTAAAATACAAAGGTGATTTCTGAATAAAAAGTTCATTACGTATGATAGTTTCATGTTAACGTAAGGATACAAATTTTATAGAGACGAATAAGATCAAAATTTAGATTCATGACCTAATGTGACATGGCCTACACCAAGATCTATCACAACTCATGGCTTGTTTGTTTACATCCTTGCTTATATGAGTAGAAGGAAAGATATCAAATAAACCTAGTTCAAGTCCGCTAAACACTTAAGCTTATATAAGTTGGGAGTTGTGTAGTACATAAGTTACCATATAAGTCAGTGTACTTATTGGATACTTAAGCTTATATAAATGCGAGATAAGCTGGATTATTAAACTAAGCCTAAGCAAACAAGCCCTTGAGCTAAAGCTTATAAGGTGTCATATAGAGGAAGATAAACTATATATATGGCATATAGTGTACTTGGTAAAATTTATGACAACCAGATATATGCATGTTGGGTTAGAAAATGTACAAAACCAAAGAATGTGCGCAATGATAAGTATTTTTTATTAGTTGATGGGCATGTTCAAATAAGCTAAAGTAACTATCTATGTTTGCGCATCTACATTACACAAATATTCCTTTGTGGCAATCGAATTACTCAAAGTTCCCTATATACGCTTCTAAATTAGAAGGTTTTGCCACTTTATATTGGACAAAATAGCTCAACCATTGTTAAAAATGACAAAATATAACCACATAATACATAATACACATATAAAATTACTATTGGACGATGTATAGAACAGCCAAAGTGTCATCCATATATGCTTTAAAATTAGCAAGTTGTAAAACTATAAAAATACAAAAAAAATTATATATATATATGCAGGTAGTTTGACACTACGCATAAATACACACACAACATAAAACGTATACCTAGTCGAAGGGAACTAGCACATCTTATATGACAAAATATGTTTTCTTATTGATTGGCATACAAATGGCAATATCAATCATATGTAACAACATTAATACAATCATCGGCATTAAGAATTCAAATTTAAAAAAAAAATAATACCAGTATTCTCATAGTATTTATAAAGGAAATTTGACATCATGGGCTTTTTGTTGTAAGCTTAAATGCTGATATTTGTAATTGTATTAACTAGAATGCATTGTAGGACCTAGAATATAGATTCTTAGTTAATCAAATAGACATAATGGAATAGAAGGGTAACAAGTATTAGAATTTTAAGTTAACAAGAGGAGAAGAAAGTTTTTTGAAGAAAATTATTTTAGGTAAGATCAAAATAAACAATGCCAAGATATTGATTTATGGAAAAGTCTAGGTTGGCTACAAGAAGAGCTAACAGAGTTCCACATAAGGTTCCAAGTTCCAACTAAACACATAATATAATGGACACACATTGAGATATGATGCAAATTAGTTGAATATGAAATAAATATAGAGAGAGTATTTCATAACCAAAGTATATCACAAACATATTAAAAATATATGGTATCTATGTGTGTAGTGTGTTAGGAAATAATCAAATAAGACATGCCTATGATATAAGAAATTTTGGTTATTGTGGATTATTAATCTATATGTGGAATTCATGCACTTATAACTTTTTAAAACTATAATTCAGTATACGAGCACATTTAACCAACCAAAAATACAACCATCACTAGGGCTTTAAAATAAAAAGAGGGCAAAGAATTTCATTAGTTTTGGTTGTAGTATAAGAATTGCAAACACAAAGTCTTAGTTATTCAGTCTGGGCAAATAGAGTGCAATAGGTGCTGACATATCTCAACATAAGATTCTAATTAAGTAAATGTTAAATGCACTGAGTGCCAGCGGCATGATGCAAACCAGAGTAACTATGGATCAAGATTGCAAGGCATATGGACTATTTATTGCTCAACGAAGTATATCTCATATGAATAAACAAATAAAATTGAGTGGGCAAAGACGGTTATGCAATTTTTGATAACTCTGGGATCTAAATTATTGTATGAAATTTGCAACACTTAGGTTTCTTCTAAAATATACTAAATCCGTTCTAAATTATAGTTCGTTTGACTTTTTTTGACCCCAAGTTTGACCACTCGTCTTATTCAAAAATTTGTGCAAAATATCACTTCTTTTGTTGTGGCTTGCTTTATTAACAAAAGTTCTTTAAGAAAGACTTAAATTTGACTATGTTTATACAAATTTTTTGAATAAGGCGACTGGTCAAACTTAGGATCAGAAAAGTCAAACGAACTATAATTTGGAACGAAACAGTATCTTTTGAATGTCAAGCTCCTGTAGCAGTACATATTGATGGATTAGTGTAAGTAATATAAATCTGAAATAGAGCATATGAGAATTGAGCACACATCTTATATATCAAACTCTGCTCGTGACTAACCACACCTTTATGAATAGCTCCTTGGCAGCAGTGGCATGTAGACCTTTGACGTTGTACACTCCATCAATAGATACTGCACAATGTTTGGCAACACTTTCTTCTGAAGTAATGATAATGATACAACTTCTAGAGTCTCCATATTGTATCAAGTTAGATTTTATCCAATCCCAGTCTTCATTTGACTGCACACCATCAATTGCAACAAGGCACACACATTTACTTATATGATCCCGGCACACACTTATGAGATCTTCGGCTCGAAGTGCCTTTGCATATTTTCCCTCCGAAGAAGTTGGCTCCATATACAAACTTACAAGTAAGCTGCGACAGAAGTCAGTTGGACTGAACGGATGGGATACACTGACCCAAGCATGCCTATCGTATCGACCTCTAGTCCTGAGTTTGCCATCATATATGGCTTTGATGAGAGCTGATTTTCCAACACCAGGCATCCCCCACACAGAAATAAGCCGGTTTTCCTGGGTCTTCTTAAAAAGTTCATCCATTTCGGTGTCACGCCCAAGAAACAATGAATGGTGGGGTTCTGATGGCTTCATAAACGATTGGACTCTATCATGTTGGAAACCCTGCGGATATCGAAACACAAGGACAAACAAGATGAAAAATGGAGAGCAATTAGTTACTAGAAAAATAGGAGTAAGCACCAACGCCAATTATTAGTGCACATAAAAAATAAGTGACTATGCCAAAAAGAGAATATAGGAGTTTTCACGACTAATATTTAACCACTAGGCTTCGTCTAAGTTGATGGCCAACCTAAACTAGTTGAGTGGACATACATATGAAGATTTTTTTTTGGTTTAGCGTGGTAAATTTACACTGATTTATATTTTGACAGACTAGTGGCACGTACGAGAAGGAACAAGTAATCACATATAATGAATATGTGTATATATCTATATCTCTTATAATCCTAAACCCCGCTAGAAGTCTATCTCACCATTCAAGTCATCTAAACCATTATCCACTGACGCATGCAATTATGGCATATATTTATTCATGCAAGCTGTCCACGTCAACAAGCCACGTCATCCACTAACAAGCATTTATTCATCCATGTCGCGCGCATACTTATGAAGGTTTTTTATTTGCCTACATTTGACTTATCCTGTCCAAGGCACACTACCCCACAACTGGTCTTCACTGCCGGTTCAAAAACCCTATCAATATAGTTTTTTTCGAACGAGCAGTAGGAAAGTGGTAGTGGTGAGCGGCCTCATAACCCACAACCTCGGGCTTTGCGCATTGATCCCCTAGCCACCACCCATAAGACAATTGTGTCCATTTGAGATTTTTGTCCTTCTCATTTTATGTCCATCTGATTTTGAAATGAGTATTTGGGACTCTAAACGAATTCAAAAGAAAAAGTTGCCGCCTAACAAGTTTTATAACTTTTTGAGATCTACATCTTGGTTATTTTTCTGTCTGAGGTCATTTGAAGAATTTGAATTTCAAATGTTTGAAAATTCAAATGTAATTTTCCTTGGATAGATTATTTCAAATGAAAACAGATCTATGACTTTTGTTTTGGTCGTCATTTCTCCGTCCGAATCATTTCAAAAATTCCAATTTCAAATGTGAGTAATTCAAACATAATTTCGTTGGATAACCGATTTCAAATGAAAAAGTTGTCAACTACAAAGTTGCATAACTTTTCGAGATCTACAACTTTTGTTTTAGTCCTTTCTCTAACTAAGATTCTTCCCTATCAGTACACACTCACTTATGACTATAGAGCACGGATTCCTTGAGTATGAACTCGATAAGATCTTGTGAATCAAATATTTCAGCATCAGAAAGACTTAAAATGAAAATGTTTTGAACTACAAAGTTACATAACTTTTGAGATCTACAACTTTTATCTTGGTCGTTTCTCCATCCAAGATCATTCCCTACCACTACACACTCACTTGTGAATATAGAGCATATAGCTTCGTTTGGTATGAACTCTATAAACTCTTGTGTGAAATATTTCGGTATCAAAACAACCTCAAATCAAAAAGTTGTGAACTACAAAGTTGTAGACCTCATCGAGTACTACAACTTTGGTAGGATGTTTATCTTTATCAAATATCATATGATAAAGTTATAAAGTTTTTATGCAGTCTATCAATGCAAGGTCACGTCCCGAACCGGTAGTGATAGTATCGCTTCCGGTTCATGAACCGGCAGTGATGATGCAATATCACTGCCAGTTTGTGGCTACATATCACTGCCGGTTCAATCCATGACCGACAGTGTTGGGCAGGTAGACACTGTCATTGTCAGTTTGCAAGCATGCAAATGATGGGCCATCATTGAAGGTCGGCTCTGTAATAGTGGCACATTCATGGCATTTCTGGTATAGATTTTTGGACAGTTTCACAAAGCTGTTTTGTACCTTCTGTACAAACAGATCCATGGAAACAGCTTCTCAATGTAATCCCCTGGAAATCCACTCTCACAAGCCAGAAATGGGGGTGAAGCTGAAGTTACCTAGGCCGGTTGTTAGACTAACTAAAGTTACGAAGTTTTTATTAAAAGATATTTGGATCTACATGTTTAAATAAATCCACTATTAAAGAATATCAACATGAGCAGGTGCTATCTAGAGCGTACGCCATACGGCAGACAAACTTGCCCTAATGGATCTAGTCAAGGTTTTCATTATCGGAAATAAAAATTTATCGGGGGTCATGGATAAATAGGATAAGCAAGATATATCGGAAATATCGGACCAAATTCAAAAAAAAATTCAAATTGTTTTGAAAAAAAATTCGTAGAATTTGACTTGAAACTATTCCTAAGCTATTAAACATCACTTGTTCACAGATAAAAACAAGAATAAAACATTATAATGTGGGACCGTCGCACGGCTGAATTTGGGTTGTCTGTGTAGAAGCAGGAAAGAAGGGAAAATTTTGGCCGATGTCAAATTTTATCGGACCCTGTGGATAGAAGGGAAATTTCGGAAATTTCCGTAAATTTCGGCCGATAAAAAAAACCTTGGATCTAGTACATATAATCTTCTTGGCCTGATTACCAACTAGCTCAATTTTTTTCTTTGCATCTGTTGGCCATTTGATGTATTATATATAAACTTGACACAATTATTAATAAATATATAGTACATAGGAAATGCATAGAGGTGGTTCCCCAGAAACATAACAGAAATGTCTTTTTTCTTTTCTAGAAGAAAAAAGTTTAAATTACTAACTCCAAATTTAGGCAATATCTAGATAACCAACTAAACTAATGTTCAGTTCGAGTTACTCCCTCTACTGTTTCAGTTGGTCCAGTTTGACCCCAAATAGGATTTGTCTTTTTTGTGTCACCACGCACAAGATGAATTTCTATTTGAAATTTTGTGATGTGCTAGAGGATATCATATTTTATGCTAAAAAATATATTATGAAATTTGGACAACGAATGGTAGGGAGTACAACATATATAGAATTACCTCATGGTAATAGACGCCGACAGAGTGGCCTGGTGAAAGGTGCCCAAGCTCTGAAACTCGGCACGGCTCCCCAGTACATTGGCTTGCAACCACCGGATGGTGGGTCAACACCACAATCCGGCTCCCTTTCTTCCTATCCGGTAGGTAGGAGCTGATGGCATCCCACTGTACCATGGTGCTTAGGTCTTCCAGGACGATGAGGTACCTATGTGTGTTGATCTTCTGAGTCAATTCGTTGATGAGATCGAGATCATCCTGAGTGGCCTGCATCCTCGCCAGCGCGTCTAGACCCACGATTACTTGTTCTTGTTCTTGGCAAGAGTGCGTCAAGAACTGAGTCATCATGCTTCGAATAAATTCATGAGGATTGAAGGGATGCACCAGCTTCACCCAGGCGCGACACTGGAATTCCTTGTGGATTCTTGCATCACCGTACATCTTCCTGACGATGGCTACATTCACAAGATCACCTTCTGTTCCGCAGACGGAGACCACATGAAGGTCTCTGTCTTCCCTAGTGATCAATCCGGTGAGATCCAAGTGGCCAGTCTTCTTGACGGCATTGACAAGAAAGTCAAATGAACTTTTGCTGGAGGAAGCTGCCTTTTGCACAAGATCCATGGCGGGTTTGGAGGCGCAGTCAGCAATAAGGTTGTAGCGTATGTTCCTCTGGCTCACATCCACCACCCGAGCCCTGAGCAGCGTCGTCTCGGCGACTGCTTCGTCCACCGGCAGCTCAGCTCCCGTCTTGCCACCAGAACAGGACGGCAGCAGCCGGAGCCACCAGGACCTCTTTGTTGTGTCGAGGTGGAGGACGAACTCAATACAGTCCTCCACATCGTAGGACAGGTCGCGGACCTGCCGCACCCAGGTCCTCACAATCTGGTTCTTGACACGCTCCTCACTGGCGCTGTCAAGGAAGGACTGCATCATCTCGAACTCTCCCGTGATGAACGCCAGGTCGCGCTGCACGATCTTCCACTGCTCTGCTTCCTCCTTGATGGCGGATTTGACTTTGTCCGCCAACAGCTGCACCGCCGTCCTGGAAATCCCAACCACAAGCTCCGCCATCGCTCTGTGAGTTCGTGGTTTTCCCGATGTCTTCGCTTGAAGCTATCAAGTGGACGTCACTGGATCTGAGATGGGATGAGATCTTAATAAATGGGGGACTGGGATGAAACTGCTACTAGGTAAATCAGAAAATCACTATTGAATTTAAAGAGGACTTGCTTACCAGCCCGACTGCGTGGAGCTGGAGCATCCAGCTGCACCGCCGTCAGTAGTCAGTACTCGGTAGGCGAGAAGCTTCAGTACAGTCAAATGCTGTAGCTGCTCGTAGCTTCACAGGAAACAGAGGAGACAAAGCCTGAGCTATCCTTAGCAATCATTCTGGCTCGGGTGTGATATGATAAGCGCGAACTTCGTCGTTCATTTGCTTTTATCAGCCAGCCCAGCATTTGCTTTGAGGGTGGCGTTGGATGGCACATCGCTATCTATATGGATTTGGGGACAGATTTATCCATGCTTCCTGTTTGGCTAGATAGATGGAACTTGTAGTTTTTATGTTGGATTGGATGGATGAGAGTGGATGAGACGAGAATCGTTGAGTAATTGTATCTATTATTTAAAAATAATGACGACTAATTATACACTAATTATACACCGGCGGAGCTGCATGCAAGAGGGCCATGGCCCCTCCTTAATGATTGAAAACTTCCTTAATTAGCTATTAAACTGGTGATTAAAATTTATAAATATGCATTTTCAGTGTTGATGGCCCCCTCTTATTTTCCCATCAAACTCCGCCGCTGCTCCGGTGGGTGAGCGGCCCTGTTCCGCCCGAGAGGAAGAAGATGCAGGCTGGCTGTCTGTGACATGTGGGGTCCACTCTTGAGTGAGAGAAGCTTTTTCAAATGCCACACCTGTTTAACCAAATGGGCTTTTAACTTTGCTACCGCACCTTTTCACAGTAGCTTTTACAAAAGCCGCAGCTCACAGTAGCTTTTGTAAAAGACACAGCTGAACCAACACAGGACCTAAAGCCCTCTATCTATGGGACTACTCGCTCTGTCCCTTTTTATCTGTCATTCTAATTTCTCGAGAAGTGAAACATATTTAACTTACACTAAATATATAAAAGAAAATATTAATATTATAGTACACAATTAGTATCATTAGATAGTCGTTGAATTTATTTTTATAACAAATTTAATTATTTGAATATACAAATATTGCTAATATTTTGTATAAACTTAGTTAAATTTGAGAAAGTTTGACGGAGACGATTCTCACCGTGACACTTAAATGGGGATGGGGGAGTATGCCCCAATGTTGCAGTTTACAGCGTTGGTGCTTCTGTGCATGTTTGGTTTGCTCGTTTTAGGAGCCGTCTGGCTATCCTTCTCATGCGGACGAGGACGAGAGGGATGCCTGGCGACGCTCACTGCACTACCGGAATCGCAAGCTTTGCCGAGTGCCAAGAACTTTGCCGAGTTTTTTTTATCTCGGGCACTCAGCAAAGGCTGTCTTTACCGAGTGCCCAAACTCGAACACTCAACAACGACACGACCTTCGGCAAAGCTGGTCTTTGCCGAGTGCTCAGGATCGGCACTCGGCAAAGACATCCTCTTTGCCGAGTGCTTAGACATGCCACTCGGCAAAGACTTTCTTTGCCGAGTGTCAACGTCTCACACTCGGCAAATTTTGGCCCGCCGTTAAACCAGCCTGCCGCCGTCAGCTCTTTGCCGAGTGTATAAATGTAACACTCGGCAAAGAGGCTCTTTGCCGAGTGTCAAAAGCAGACACTCGGCAAAGTATAATTTTTTTTGACTCCTGCACTTCAAAAATTTTCACCTCTCCACATACCACATGTGGTACTCCATGCTTAAGTTTGGTGTATTTTTGAATTTATTTGCTATATTTAACTAATTAATTGCATTTCAAGCAATTTTTTGAATTAAGTTAAATTTGAACTGCAAGTGATTCAAATATTTGGAAAAAATAAGTATAAAATTGATATTCATGTTATTCAACCCAGTTTGAGGCCTTACCTATAAGATTATAAGGGTTTTCGAACATCTTATTTCGGAAACATGACCCCGAGCGTGTGGTTGAATGGTTTTTAAATTCTAAAAAAAGCAAAGGAAGTCCGAAAATCATGAAATTTGATAAGATGTCATGAAATCATATGTGGAGGCTATGGTAAAAAATTGAGAAGGTGTCACATAAATTGTCACGTACATTGCTTACAAACCGAAACATCTGCGAAGAAGTTTCATGATTGTTGAGAATGATCTGGTAAGATTTGGAGTGAAAGTGACGGTCGAGTTGTGGTTTGACTCCCAAACTTTTTGTATAGCCAATAGACATCAAAGATCGTGTCATGTTAAATTTTAGTGATTTTTTGGATCCATTTGATAATTATTAATTTTTAATTGGAATTATATAAATGGAATTTGAGCTATAACTACGTGAAATCATGGTCTATTTTTCGCTGAAGCATCAAATTTGCATTGTTGAGTGAATTTGACAAGGTATTTTCAAAGTGTATTGGAACAAATTTGGAAAAAAAATGGTTAAGGAAAAAGGAAAGGAAATAGAAAAGTTTTTTTTAAAAAATACCTTTGCTGAGTGTCCTAGGGTTAGCACTCGGCAAAGTATAGTCTTTGCCGAGTGCCTTATCGGCTTGACTCTCGGCAAAGATTTTTAATGTTTTTTTTAAAAAAAATCCCGGCTTTGCCGAGTGTCGGATCGCGGACACTTGGCAAAGGCCTTACCCAAGACTTAACTGCCACGGCCGAGACTCACTCACGCACGCACGCACACTCCCGTCCCCTCGCTCCCTCACTGCCCCTGCCAGCGCCGCCCCCCCCGCCCTGCCCGTCATCCTCGCGTCACCGCGCCTTCTCCCGCGCTGCCCCGCTCGTGCCCGCCCGTCGTGCTCGCGCCTGGCACGCTCGCCCGCCGGCCGCGGCCCCGAAGCCGCCTCCACCGGCAAAGTTTGGCCCGCCGGCTGCCCCCCATCACTGCCCCGCATGCCACCCCGCTCGCAACGCCGCGCCTGCGCGCGCCCACCCACCCACGCCGGCGGCCCGCCACCTGGACTCGTCTCGCCCGCACCCGGCGCCCGTCCCCACGCGCCGACGACGCAGGCTCCCGCGGCTGGCCCCCAGCATCCCGCACCCGGTGCCCTCCCCCGCGCGCCGATGACGCAGGCTCCAGCGCCCGGCCTCCTGTGCAGTACCTAGGTAATCCCTTGTTCATCTCTTTCATGTTCCCTTTGTCTGATAGAAATAAGGTAAAAGGTTCCATGCTGCAGAACATTGGTGTTTCGAATTGCCTCATTCCTAGTTCCCCTGGAGTGAAATGTTGTAATATCATTTTATCTGTCTGTAGAATGTAGTTTCATTGAATTCATATTCATACTGAGATCAAGTGCAAAAAAACGATATGAATTCGTCTTGTAAGAGATAAAGCTTTCACTAGCTAGTAGAGTGATCGATGCATAATTTTTTAAGTTTAGCTTTCACTAGTTAGGTAAAATCCTAAAGCTTGGCGTGATACAGCAGCCCCGTTAACCTTTTTGCCGGCAATAGGCAAGTGGCTTAGTGGAAGAAATTTTAGAAGGGGGAAAGCATGAGAAATTGCTACAACGAAAAATCAAAAGCAAAATCACTTAAACAACATTTAAAGGTAGACGTGTTGACTATTGTATTTGTTTTATTTTTATTCGATAGGCATTGACCCAGCTGTCAGAAAAGCTACACATGTGTTGCAGGTCTACAAATACAGAGGGGATAGGAAGGACTTGAACAAAGCAGTCAAAAATATCTAACCGTTTTATTTTCAAACTTGTGAAAGCAACCGATCCTGACATAGTAATATCTAACCGTTTTATTTTCAAACTTGTGACCCACGCTTGCTAGTACGTACTAGCTGATTGAGCTCTGCGGCGCGCAAACACACCTTGCAGTTGGTTTATGTCACAAGCACAAACGTAGCATGGACGACCTGCAAGGCTGCAATGCCGCAGGAAGCAGATCCCTGCTTTGTTTGCAAACTACAGTATTTTCTTTTCTTTTCTTTTTCCTTTCCCTTTTGCTGCAGTAGTCACAATCTTTTTGTCAAGGAATTGGGATTGATTTCAAACAAGAAACAGCCACAAATAAAACACACACGGTGCAACTGAATAATCCTAGCTAGGCAGCTGGTTCAACTTTCTGAAACAGATGAAGCTTCACGTATACTCTGCGATGTGGGATACAGTAGCAAGGAACTACCCAAGTGCTGGTGGGTGGCTTGAACCCTTGCTTGCGACCATTTGGTCAAAACCAGCAGCACTGTGTCGGTTGGCTTGACCCAGCCATTCACTTGGTGCACACTGATGATGGAGTATATATATTATTACATGATTCATGGTTGGATGGACTTATTAAACTGCACTTGATGCCTTTCCTGCTGTATCATATCGTTTCAATGCGAGCTACTTATTACCCTTGCCAGTTCAGTAGTGCTGTTTGACCATCCTAGCTAATGGCACTGAGAGGTAGTACTTAGGAATCACTCCTAAGCTATTTCAATTCCCAGTGCGCCCAAACCTTAACGTAATTCATAGGTAAAAAAATCGTGCGCCCAAACCTTAACGTAATTCATATGAAACTGTGTGATTATATATGTAGTAGTAGTAGGAGGAGGAGGAAGAGGAGGAGGAGGAGAAGTAGGACTGGTGGTGGTGGTAGTAGCAGTAGTTGTGATTATATATGTTTGTATGAATGTGAATCCAATGCATATGCATATGTGGTTATCAGTCATCGTGCCGTACGTTTTTTTGCAGGTTTTAGAAACCTCACCGTGTAGGGGAGGTTCTGTCAAAATTTTGAATTAAGCCCGTATGTTCTTTTTTTACAGAGAAGAGCCCGTTGGAGCCGAGCCGGAGTACCTCGGCGACCCCGATCGTATTCCTCGCCACTGCGGGTCTACCTGCACCGCGTTGCCTCGCCACTGCACCGACCCGCCACGGCCCCACTAGCCTGACTCCACCGCCACCCAAGGTATAACCCCTCTTTCCGTAT